CCTACTGGGGCGAGGGTCAAGCTGACCTTCACCGTGCGGGGCGCGCAAACCCCAGTTCCACCGATGGAGACGGGCCAGGTCGCTCCATACACCTCGTCAGCCTTAACATCACCAGTCTCTCAGCGAACTGGCCAACCATCACCGCCCTTGGTGTCGACCACAACGCCGCTGTCATAGCACTGCAGGAGACCCGACATGCCAAGCCGACTAGGCAAGCCATCGCTACCAGCGCCGCAATCCTCTCCACGGTGGATACCACGCCAGTCTTGGGCCTGACCTTGATCTGGCGCGAGCCCAGCGCAGAGCTGCCCACGGCGGCACTGATCACACCGTTGTGGGCAACACTGGCGCCTCGGGAGGGGTCGCCATTCTCTCTAAGGATGCCATCGTCGACTCCACTGTCGACGACAATGCGCCCTGTATCGCCGCCCTCAAGGCCAAGAAAAGATGGCATGAGGTCTTTCTCCCACTCTGCACTCAACACCGCCGTAGGCGGCGACGAAATAACCATGGGCCCGCGGGGATCTACATAGCGAGCCTTTACGGGATTGCTGGAGGAGACAGCACAGCTCTCTTTCGGCTCGCTGACTGTGCCGCCGCTAGGGTCGGCTCAGCACCCTACTTCATCTGCATGGACGCCAACACGAACATTGACGACAATCCACACCTTCTGCACATGTTGCAGCACGGATGGTCCAACGTCGCTGAGGGCACACCAGATCACACCATGCACACCTATGGCAATATCCCTGATTGGGACCGCGTCACCAAGTGCCCCCGCACTTCGCGCATCGATTATATCATTGCCAACCAGGCGGCGCGATCCCTTGTCACCGACTTCTGCTACCTTCGCGACTTGCCTGCGAAGTCTCACGTTGGCCTGCAGGTCACGCTTGACCTCAGTCGCCTCGACCATACGGCCCGACGTCTTCTTGCCCCCACGCCCTACCCGCCCGACGATGGAGTTCATGAGGGGCACGAGCTGCAAGCACTGGGGACCCTCATCGCTGGGCGGTACCAGGACCGCATGGAGCAGGCCGACGCACGAGACGACGTGGAGCGCATGTTCACCCTGGCTAACGAGGCCAGTCATGAGTACCATCTCACCCGTCTACGCGATCTGCCACCTCCACCGCCCCACCAACCAAAAAAGAAGCCCCCCACCATGCACGGGCTCACGCCTACGTTCGAGGATCGACCGGTTGTCCCCCGCGCGTTCCCCACCTACGGAGCTTCCACGATTCACATGAACCGACTGCGCAAGCTCCATCGGCAACTCTGCGAGCTCCGTTTCATCGGACAGCACCACCATCTTGATTGCCGTGCTATTCCGCCGTACCTCGCGCAGCGCATCGACTGCACGTGGGCCGCGGCCCGCCTCTTATGCCGCAAGCTGCGCCCCACGGTTCTCCTGGAATTCCCCGAGGCCTGGGCCCCAGACGAGCCAGTGCCGCACGGGGAGCACCTTGACGTTTTGATCCAACATCTCGACTTAGAGCTGGCGCGACGCGCGAACCGTGCCAAGGCGGAACGCAACAGGATATGGGCCGAGGGCGTCCGTGAGCCAAGCGGGCGAAAGGCGGCCATATACGCACGAGCTGCTGATAGCTCGCCCACGGCGTATCTCCGCACGCCTACCACTCCTGACGATACGCACCTCCACTGCGACACCAACGCCTTCAAACCTGACGAAGCTTGCACGGACGACAGCGACGCTGACACCGAAGCTGGCGGCTTCAGCCCCGGCGACGGTAGTTCGCCCGACACGGACAGCGACGAAGACCACACCCGTGAATCACCACCTGCGCAAGTCCCCGACATCCTCCCTGCCAACGCCATTGTTGCTAACATCAAGGACATGCTGAAGCTCATGGTCGACACCTGGGAGCCCATCTTGGGCAGGTACCGCGCACGTGCGGGACATGATGCCGAAGCCATGCCGACGTGTGCCGACTTCTACGACGAGTACCGACAGGAGCTGCCTACGCCATCACCAGCTACCCTTTTCCACCTCACCGACGACCAACTCATCCACTTCATTCGCACCCGTTCACCGAGACGCGCGGGTGGTCTGGACGGTTGGACTACTAAGGAGGCAAAGGAGCTTCCCGACGACATTCTTCGCCTCTTCGCCAGCGTTCTACGAGCTATGCAACGCACTGGCACCATCCCAGAACCCCTCCTTCACGTCCCAAACCCGTGCCTCCGAAAAGGCCGAGGCGAACTCCCAACGGACCAACGACTTCTCTCGGTGCTTTCCGTTTGGATGTACGCGTGGGAAGCACCAGCTTACCGCAGCCTCACGGAATGGCGGAAAGGTTGGACCCACGCCACGAGTTTTGGCGCTGTCCCCAAAGCTACCATTGGGGACGTCAGCACTTCTCTCGCCCTTCGCATCGAACACGCCAGAGCCCTTCTCCTTCCCTTGGCTGGAGCTGCCCTGGACCGTCAGAAGTGTTTCGACTATCTCATCACGGACATATGCCTTAACCTCGCGCTTCACGCGGGGTGCCCCAAGACATCGTTACTGTCCGCAGAAACTTCTACAGGCGCCACAAACGTTACATCCGCATGAACGGTGCGTACTCTAAGGACCTGGCCAGGACAAACGGTCACCTCCAGGGAAGCTCTTGGTCCCTGGACGACATTAAGCTGCTCATGTGCGTCTGGACCAAGAGACAGCACCGTTACGTGCCGCGGTCACTCAGCACTACTTTTGTTGACGACAGCAACTCCACTACCCACACCGCGCCCGAGTTGCAGAAATCTCTTGATGAAACCGCCAAGTTTGATCGATTTTCTGGTCAACGCTTTCATCCTGGAAAAGTGGCGGGGTGGGCGCTTACTGACGAGCTTCACACCGCCGTTACCCAGCTCACCTTGGCGGAACGGCCCTTACGCGTGGTCGACTCCTTCAAGCTCGTCGGAAGTTACATCAATGCCGAGGCAGCGCCGGCTCCAGCCGCGCTCAACCTCACGGCCACCGCTGACGCCCGTGTTCGCAGGGCGACTAGTCGCCTGCCGCGTATTGGCAAGCTCCCATCTCCGATGCGTTTTAAGGCGCGGCACGCCCGCTCCCTTGCTGCCAGCGTCTGTACCACGGGCACTGACATCCAAGCCCCATCAGGCCCCGTCAAAACTGCCTACAACCATGCCCTTAAGGCGGCTATCCGCCCCAAGGGAAACAGGTGGGTCGAGTTTTGGACTCTCTTGGCCGTGTGCGTCCCAGGGCACGCCCTGGAGATTGACGCCATTATGCAGCGTGAAGTCTTCCTGTGCCTGCGGCGACAGGTCAACCGCGACGCCACTCTTTGCGGCCTCGTCAGGGATCTCCAACACCATGTCCAGACCCTTTTTGGCGGAGGACCTGTTGGACGACTTGTTCAGACGCTTCAGCAGCTCCGTTGGACTTGGCCCACATCTGGCACCATGTACGACGACTGGGGTTGTCAGATCAGTTGGCTGAACCTTCCCCAAAACGCCTTCCTCCACATGCTGCGCGCCTCGCAACGCAGAGCCTTTCTCAGAAAAATCAAGCCACGGCGTCATGACCTTGGTCACCTTGCTTCGGTCAGACAGGGCCTCGACCTTTTCGCCAGCACGTGGCTCTCCCGCACCAAAGGAGCTGCCAAATGCAACGCATGGCAGCTGGCGCTCCTCTTAAACTACCTGTCGGGCGGGGACCACACCCAACAGCGACGTTCTCGATCAAATACGTCCGCTGATCCCATCCCTATTTGCCGTTACTGTGATGAGGAAGAGGAAACTCAGGAGCACACTGTGCGTGACTGCAAGTGCTGGGCCCGTGAAAGAGTCCCTCTCACCACCCTCATCAGTGACGAGCAGTGGGCACGTCTTCCTCCGCACACAAGACATTGCGGGCTCTTCGATGAGGACCCAGCCCTCCTCGATCTGCAAGCCGACCTCGCGAGGGACCCGCGACCTCAACCCATACCGCGGCCCCCGCCTGAGGGAGATCCTGCGGCTTCAGCCCAGGACTCCTACACCACTTACCTCGACCACGACACTGGTTGGACATGGGTCTTCGCGGCCACGGACGGTGCATGCACCAACCAAGCCATCCCTTTGCTTGCAAGAGCGGGCTACGGCGTCTACTACGGCATCGACCACCGCATGAACTACAGTGCGCGCGTTCACGGCATCACGCAGTACGCTCAGCTTGCGGAGACCCTCGCCATTGTCCACCTCACGGCATGTGCTGAACGGCCCGTACACGTCTTCGTGGACAACCAGGCGGTGGTCGACGGCTTCCAAAGGATCATCGACGGACACTCACCTCCGCAGGGCACGCACGTGGAGTTCTGGGAAAAGGTCCACCGATGTGTCATGGCCAAGCCAAACATGTTCCGCGTAGAGAAAGTCTCTAGCCACCAGGGCGACACGGGCATCGACCTCGGGCTCATCGGGCCCATCGCGGAGGAGTTCAATCGTCAGGCTGACGCCCTCGCCACTGCGGCGGCACGTACTCATAACCTCCCAGACGACATCGTTGAAGCTGCCAAAGCACGACACCGCCAAGCGACCGTGCTCCATGGAGTCGCTGTTGCCATCTACGAGCGGAGACATCGTACTCTTCCTCTCCCACACCGCAGGGCTGGGTTCACTGCTGCGGAACTAAACAAAATGGAACCAAATCCCCTGCTGTCTGACCAGGCTCCACCCGCGGCTGGACCAGACATCCCACAAAACCCCGACGAGCTCTGGGCCGAGGCTCAACGGGGGTTATTCGACGAACAGGAGGACGACCCGTTCGGCTTTGGTGGAGGTTTGGACTTCCTGGGCGACGAGTCAGCCAGCGCCAACCCTGCCCCCGCGGCCACCCGCACGGCGCCCCCGACTCCGCCATTGAGTGCGTCAGCCCACCCACATGACAACGCCGTCCCTTTTCAAGACGCTGATGAGCAGGACGATGACCTTTTCAGCCTTGGTGGGGGATCGGACGCTTTGGACGACGGACCAGCCAACGAAAACCCCGCCCC